CGGCCCCCAGCAGAAGCTGACCAACCCACCCCCAAACCAGGGAGAGTGAAGAACACTAACAATTACTGACAGCCTTAACCACGGGTAAAGCCCATCAGATAGCTGACAGGTCCATCCAGAAACCCAGGACATAAAAAACAAAAAGGTTCCCATTCAAGCAGACAGGCATCTGGACCTCAACACCACAGGACAGTAAAACCAGACCCTATAGCTCAAGGAAACAGACATAGTCAGTTGAACAGAACTAGATATATGATGCATGATCAGGCCAACAAGCACCAAAGCCAGGGCCAAGATGAGGTCACAACAAGATAAGAGTCATAAAACTATGAATTCTTATACTGTACCGCGCTCCAATATTATCAACCTTTTGTGATTAACCTTTTTTGGTTGTGTGAATTTCTTAATATACCACCTATAATCCAATCATTACTTACTTCTATGGTGCTTAAATATACAATTCAGCTCAGCTTTCTCAATTGTGCTTTCTTCACTGGCCGTTCCTCTGTGGATGCGCGTGATAACGTCACCGCCCCTCCCCTACGCGTTACGCTACAGGGACTCGTAGCTTCCTCTGGGGGATGTGGATTATATCCACATCCCCCAGAGGAAGCTACGAGTCCCTGTAGCGTAACGCGTAGGGGAGGGGCGGTGACGTTATCACGCATCCACAGAGGAACGGCGAGTATATTTACTGCAAGCAAACACATCAGCCAGGCTGTCTGAAGTACGATCTTGATACATTGTATGCAAAGCGTTATTTACATTTACACAATGTGAGTGGGAGATCAAAGAGCAATAAATCACTTATATCCCGGATAAGACACTATGTTTCTTTTCCCTTCTCTGCATGTTCCGTATATGGAGGAATAAACAAAGCAGCCAGTGAAGAAAGCACAATTGAGAAAGCTGAGCTGAGGCGAGAGGAGAGGAGACAAGGGAGAGGTTCAAGCTGCCAACACAGACTTATCACATTAACTAAATTGAATAACAACACCATCTCAAATTTAAAGAAAATAATTGACATTCCCTTTTTTTTTTTTTTTTTTTTTTTTTTTTATGTTTTATTAATTTTTTATTATTTTATTCACATAGTATTGACATTCCAATTTTTCATTAATTTTTTATTAATATTTGTTATAATCACAAATAATTTTTTAATTCATATTTATAAATTAATTTATGTTAATTGTATATTTAAGCACCATAGAAGTAAGTAATGATTGGATTATAGGTGGTATATTAAGAAATTCACACACCAAAAAAGGTTAATCACAAAAGGTTGATAATATTGGAGCGCGGTACAGTATAAGAATTCATAGTTTAATTTCATACACCTAGAGAGGGTGTAATTAGTGCCTGGCGATCCAATATTTAATAAATATTCACTTAAGCACACAATTAACACTAATAATAGAGTAAGTTAACTCCTGGTGGCTCACAAATAACTATTCTATTAAGATAAGAGTCATACTTCCCTCCCTCGAGGATCCTACCAAGCAGGCCTTGGCCTGTTCCACCTTGTAGACGAGATGCACGAGGCCACTGTGGCAGTGGAGTAGGTTGCACTGGTCAAGGGCAGTCCAATCCAGGACCGAGATGGACGGGACCCCTAGCAGAGCAAAAGAGATCCAGCAACTGTGCTGGAGTGCCTACTTTCAAGGAATGATCACCTTTCCGAACTGAGAGGAAAAAGGGGAAACCCCATCTAAAGGTAGCATCAGCTTCCTGGATCTTGTCCAAAAGCGACTTCAGGTTGCGTCTCAGCTGTAGGGTGCTTCGAGAGAGATCAGGCAGGATTTGAATAGTCGCCCCATCAAAGTCAAGTGGACCCCTACGCCATGCTCTGCAGAGGATAGCCTCCTTTATGTTGTATAAATGCACTCTACACAGTGCATCTCGTGGGCGCCCCTCATCCATGGATGTGGACTCTATCAAGGCAGCATCTGGCACTCTATCCAAGAAGGTGTTCAGTATGGCTGTCGCAGTAGTACGGAGGTCGTTAGGGGACATAGCTTCTGGAATACCCCGCAGTTTAATGTTATCCCTCCTATTTACAAGATCATCTTGGTGTAGATTCAGGGTTTACAGGTGATGCCGATACTGTGACACTGTGGTTTCCAGGGTCATGACCCTCTGCTCCACCGCCAACTGACTTGTAGTTAACCCATCCACCCTCACAGTGAGAGAGTTCAGGGTGTCTTTCACCTCCCGAAATTTCTTTTTAAAAGACTGCTGCAGGGTCAGGGCTAGCATCTGAACATCCATTTTAGTGGTGAGGATAGCTAAAAATGACTGCGCCTCGGGATCCGTCAGACCGGCTGGAAGGCCTGAGGTACCCGGCCAGGGGGACAGACTTTCTGCTGGCTGGGAGGCCAAGTCCTCCTGGACGAGGTCCGAGAGTACCGGGGGCAAGAACCATCACCTGATAGGAGGGGAAGGGAACCATCTCTGAACTCTCCTGCTGTGCAGCATCTACAGCACTATGAGGTCCGGGCGTCATGTTGAGGCCCTCCTGGGCTCCGTTCACCACCACTCTAGGAAAGAGGAAATCCAGTACCAAAGAGCTACGGGTCACCGGACCTGTACCCTGAGGCTTCCTGGCCCCTTTTAGCATGCCGGGAGTCCTGGGTGAGTGCGGGCAACCAGACCGTAGCCGGGTCAGTGCGGAGCTCCAGAGAGACACGTCCTCACTCCGTCATAGTGTGACCACGCCCTCCAAATCTCCTGTTTTTAATAATACTGTAAACTATGGAGAATGCAATGGAAGAAGCTGAACACACAAAGGTGGGGTCACCAAGGAGGACAGAAACAAAGTCAGGAATTTTAGCTTTTAGCTATATGGCTTTTTTATTTTAATCCAAGACACCTAAAAATCTAGGGACTGACTCAACCTGTCAGGTTCCACCTGTAACTTGCTCAAACTAAAACCTAAAATAATGGGCTTCCTGTGGTTCCTACAGCTACAAAATTACTGGGAGCTGCAGGGGGCCAGTAAGCTGATATTCCCAGAAACTATCTATTTTGAAAACACTCAGCAGGGGATATCTTCATACCGCTGAAGCAATTAGTGAAACAAGCAGTAGGAAAGGGGAGTATCTAAGTTCTTCTTTTTAAGGAGGTTAAGTGACAGAGTCACTATGGCAGGCTACATTTTCCTAAAGGTTTATAATTCAAAACCAAATATGGTCATGTTCTAGAATATAATATTATGTGCCATGAAAGTTGCTCAATACAAAACAGAATCTGGTTTAAAAATGCAAATGGCGAGCGCTATGTAAATAAAAGCAGCTAGCACCAGAGATAGTAACAATAAATCTCAAGGAATAAACATACATATAAAGTGCAGCGCATACAAGAAATAAATGCAGTGTCAAAATTGTGTGCACAAATTAGTGCAACCAATAAAGCAATACATAAACAAATGAGTATAATAAATGAATAAAGTCCTTCCAATATAAGTCTGTGTGTCTGTGATATAATGCTGAAAGGCACAACAGACCGTGTCCAATTCCACACAGTGCTCTGAGGTCCAGTGAATGTTCCACGACCACTAAACACTCACCAGAATGCTACTTGTAAAGGAGCAATATCAGAAGATCTATAAATTCCACTCTCCAGTATCCGTAAGGACAGGTAACCTCCTAGAGCAGGGGTGGGCAACTGTGGCCCTCCAGCTGTTGTAGAACTACAAGTCCCATGAGGCATTGCAAAACTGACAGTTACAAGCATGACTCCCAAAGGCAGAGGCATGATGGGACTTGTAGTTCACCAACAGCTGGAGGGCCACAGTTGCCCACCCCTGTCCTAGAGGAAAAGCTCACCACACGGAGCCCAAAAGATGATTCAAAGTGTAGTATTTATTAAAATAAAGTAAAAGCATTCCACATAGAAACATAATACAAATAAGAAGCTCGCCATGAGGACATGCGTGTGCACGAAACGTGTTGGATGCAGCCTACGTGCTGATGTCACACCGCCATATCCGTGGTCCGGAACGGCGGCCATTTTGGTATGTGTCAAGCTTTTTATTTGGATTGATGTTTCTACTTAGAATGCTTTTACTTTATTTTAATAAATACTACACTATGAATCATCTTTTGGGCTATGTGTGGTGAGCTTTTCCACTGGGAGGTTACCTGTCCTTACGATTACAAGTAGCATTTTGGGAGAATGGGAATTTATAGATCTGTTTCTGATATTGCTACTTTACAAGTAGCATTTTGGTGAGTGTATAGTGGTGGTGGAACATTCACTGGATCTCAGAGCACTGTGTGAAATTGGATCCAAGTTCTGTTGTGCTTTTCAGCATTATATCACGGACACACAGACTTACAGTATATTGGAAGGACTTTATTCGTTTGTTATACTCATTTGTTTATGTATTGCTTTACTGGTTGCACTAACTTGCACACACAATTTTGACACTGCATTTATTTGTTCTATTTGTTGTATGTACTGCACTTTAAAAAAAACTGAATCTGATGTGCTACTGAAAGCAGAACTACACTGCATCTGTGCACCACAAATCAAAAAACACTATTTCATTAACTTTTAATATTTAAAGCAAACTCCAACATCCATCCATGTCTACATGCTTTATTTTGCTGCAAAATCAAGTTGAAAAATACCTCCCTAGCATTTCTGGCTGTGGCAATCTTGAGTAAGGGTAGATGGATCATGTAGCATTTAATTCCTGGAATCCATCTGTCCTTAGCTCAGGCACTAAGGCAGGAGGGTGTGCTTAGTTGAGAAAGCTCATCCTCCCCTCCTGAGGACTCCTGGAATGTATGACATAATTTGCCTAGGCATGGAACCCAGAAAGTAACTAAAGAAATGTTAAAGAAACTGTTTTAAAACAAGTAAATATGATATAATTTCCTTTCTATTTACTCATGCTAGCAACATAATGATTCAAAATAGTCAATGTTGATTAACAGAGTGAAGTTCCATTTTAAAGAATATTATTTTGCAATGGTAATTAAGAAAAATCTTCATACCAAGTCCCGCAAGAAATCCCACTTCTTAGCACCCATATCATAAAGGCCAACTCCTCCATCCATGAAGCAACAGACAGCATGACCGGGAGGCAGTGAGAAGGCGTGGTTCTGTGTCAGCGTTGGAGGAGGGACAGCCTCACTAGTGGATGATGTGTGGTGGTTCTTTGTAGGGGATTGTGCTAAAAATGCTCATTAGAGGGAAAAAAAAATTAACAAACAAGGCATTTATCACTCTACAAAATATAAAACTGTGTTTATATATCTGTGCATAGTACAATACCTAACTATTGAAACAGTCATTCTCTATTTGCCTTCTTCATTTCTGTAATGTGTCAAAGGAATTTACTAAGACTGGAGCAGACAGAATATGGGAGCAGCTGTGAATGGTAACCAATCAGCTGCTAGATTTCATTGTTAAAGCTTATAGCAGAACTAAACCCATCAATTTAACAGTTTAAAAAAAAAAAAAACAGGTCTCGTTCACACCATGGTGCAGAGACGTCAGATTTTCTGTGCACATTCTGCAGGGCACAAAAAAAAATTGTCCTCCATGTGCCCTGTTTCACACCACAATGCTAGTATCATGTGCAGAGTTTTTCTGTGCAGGAATCTGCAACCTGTATAAAACTCACTGACACGCACATGAAAACTGATGTAAACTTCAATCTCTGGAAGTGAAATCTGCGCAGTTTTCCCATTCGTTTTTTATACATGTATGGTGAGAACGAGGCCTTCAATTCCCAGCATGCTGGGAATGCTAACTGTCACATTTGCTAGCACCTTCAACCAAACTGTCAACCATCAAATGGTTGGTGTCATAACTGATCACATGTGCAGCATCATGGCAGTTGAAGATCAAACAGAGGCCAAGACAGAAGATTCCTTGGCTGAAAAGTATAGCAGGGTTCAGTTCAGCTTTAAAGTGAACTAAACCTTCCTATCTTTTACAGCAAAGGATGCTTGCAGTTGCACATATGATTAGTTATGACACCAGCCATTTGATGGCTTGACATTTCAGTAGAGAGCACAAACAACTGTGACAGTTATTATTTACGTATAAATGTGAAAATATGGTACCAAATAAATCTACCAAACTATCCCAATATTCACAAAGAAACTTTCACCCTTGAAAGTGATAAATAATTAAATAACAATATGAATAGATCCCCACCTTCTGAACTTCCCACCCTATATTTAGTGGCAATCAAATTTTTCAACAATAAATCTCCAAAAAATACAAGTATACAAACAAGATGTGTGAAAATTAAAAAAATAAAATTAAATAAAGTCATTCCCACAAATATAATGAAATTAATATCCAGTGTCACTTAAAGTCCAAACTTTAAATAAATAAAACAATGTCCAAACTCCAACTTGATATTTCTTTAAAGATGTTTGAGCCTTCCCTCTGGCTCCCAAAAGTTGGGAAATACCTAAAAAAAAAAAAAAACTCACAATAGTGCATTATCTTAATGACAATATTCCATATCACTCTAAATTTAGTGCCAAAAATTGTGCAAAAACCAAAAAACAGAATAAACCAACACTGTGCAAAAAATCAGTGATGTGCTCCACTCTGTGCTCAACACAACTCCAGTGATGTATCACCTCTACTATAATCGGCAGGTATATCCTTACCAGAAATCATAGGAAACAACCGCCTTATGTGTCAGTAGAAGGTATCATCAGAAATGCTTCCTCTCCTCTCCTCTACTCCTGAAGCTTTCCGCTTTGATTACCTTCCCCTCATGGTCCCACATGAGCCTTGTACCGATCTCATACAGATTCCTCCAAACCATATATGGGTAAAAAAGCAATAATAGTGTGACACCGTATGGTAACTTAAACAGTACCTTTTAATCAATCTGCTTACATCAAAAACCATAAAAACGAGCGTGGTAGGTGTTTTCCCTATTCAGGGGATTACCAGACAGCTCCCAGGTGGATTGCTTTGCAGTTTCCCAGACCTAAGATGGCCGCCGTACCACTTCCGGTTCCTGCTCTGCATCGACGTCACTTCCTTTGACGCGTTTCGTCACATCCGGGACATAGTCATAAAGGCTATCCATCACTGGAGTTGTGTTGAGCACAAAGTGGAGCACATCACTGATTTTTTGTACAGTGTTGGTTTATTCTGTTTTTTGGTTTTGCACAATTTTTGGCACTAAATTTAGAGTGATATCGAAGATTGTCATTAAGATAATGCACTATTGTGAGTTTTGTTTTTTTTTTAGGTATTTCCCAACTTTTGGGAGCCAGAGGGAAGGCTCAAACATCTTTAAAGAAATATCAAGTTGGAGTTTGGACATTGTTTTATTTATTTAAAGTTTGGACTTTGAATGACACTGGATATTAATTTCATTATATTTGTGGGAATGACTTTATTTAATTTTATTTTTTAATTTTCACACATCTTGTTTGTATACTTGTATTTTTTGGAGATTTATTGTTGAAAAATTTGATTGCCACTAAATATAGGGTGGGAAGTTCAGAAGGTGGGGACCTATTCATATTGTTATTTAGTTATTATTTACGGTATGTCTTGAATGTAACTGTTTTGGGAAACCGTTAAATCAATGGGTTCAGTTCTGCTATAACTGAATAAGCTGAAGTTAGGAGCTATATTAATATTAAATATAATTTATTATACACTATATTGCCAAAAGTATTGGGACGCCTGCCTTTGAACTTTAATGACATATAATATTGAGTTGGCCCATCCTGTGCAGCTATAATAGCTTCAGCTCTTCTGGGAAGGATGTCCACAAGGTTTAGGAGTGTGTCTATGGGAATGTTTGACCATTCTTCCAGAAGCGCATTTGTGAGGTCAGGCACTGATGTCGGACAAGAAGGCCTGGCTCGCAATCTCCACTCAAATTCATCCCAAAGGTGTTCTATTGGGTTGAGGCAGGCCAGTCAAGTTCCTCCACCCCAAACTCACTCATCCATGTCTTTATGGACCTTGCTTTGTGCACTGGTGCGCAGTCATGTTGGAACAGGAAGGGGCCATCCCCAAACTGTTCCCACAAAGTTGGGAGCATGAAATTGTCCAAAATGTCTTGGTATGCTGACGCCTTAAGAGTTCCCTTCACTGGAACTAAGGGGCCAAGCCCAACTCCTAAAAAAATAACCCCACACCATAATCCCCCTTCCACCAAACTTCACACTTGGCACAATGCAGTCAGGCAAGTACTGTTCTTCTAGCAACTGACAAATCCAGACACGTCCATCAGATTGCCAGACAGAGAAATGTGATTTGTCACTCCAGAGAACACGTTTCCACTGCTCTAGAGTCCAGTGGCGCAATGCTTTATACCACTGCATCCAATACTTTGCATTGCACTTGGTGATGTAAGGCTTAGATGCAGCTGCTTGGCCATGGAAAACCTATTCCATGACGCTCTCTACACGCTGTTGTTGTGCTAATCTGAAGGCCACATGACGTTTGGAGGTCTTTAGCTGTTGACTCTGCAGACAGTTGGTGACTTCTGCGCATTGTGTGTTTCACTGTGTGCTGACCTTGTTCTGTCATTTTACGTGGCCTACCACTTCATGGCTGAGTTGCTGTTGTTCCCAGTTGCTTCTACTTTGTTATAATACCACTAACAGTTTACCATGGAATATTTAGTAGCAAAGAAATTTCACTGATGGGCTTATTGCACAGGTGGCAACCTATCATGGTACCACGCTTGAGTTCACTGAGCTCCTGAGAACAACTCATTCTTTCACAAATGTTTATAGAAGCAGTCTGCATGCCTAGGTGCTTGATTATATACAGTACACCTGTGGCCATGGAGGTGATTGGAACACCTGAATCCAATGATTTGGAGGGGTGTCCCAATACTTTTGGCATTATAGTGTATGTTTATTAAACAAATGCAACATAAAATTTGAATATATATTATAGAAATCACTTTTATGTAGGTACAGTATAAAAAACAAACTGAATAACAATTAAGCACTTTATCATACCTACGACCAAAACATAATAATGAAAACAGCCATTTAGCAGCTAAAGCAGTTTTAAGATGATTATACTTTCAAAAGTATCATAACTCTGACATAGGATTTTGGGAACAAGAGCCTTTATATACCATTCCCAAAACTTTATGAACTGTTACTAAACAGTTAGTGTTATACTGTATTATGCATGTTTAATGTAAGACAGGGTGAGGAAATGCACTACACTCTGCTGAAATGAGTACATGACTTGGAACATTAGAAATATGTGTGTAGTTCTTTGCAGAGCCTGAAGCCATAAGTTGCTGATCAAAACTTTGTTATTAAAGAGAACTTGTTGACTTTATCTAAAGAAATCAAAGGTTCAGTTCTCTGCAAAAAAAGTATATTTTGCACACCTCTTCGACACTTCCAGGACTCTCAGATACCTCTGTTACCTACCACGCACTGTAGTTCCACCCCAGCATCACTACAGGACACAGCAGTGATGTAGGGGTTGGAGGATTACACTACAGCATGAGGTGAGAGACAGAACCCTACGTTCCCGGAAATAGGTCAGCCAGGCAACTCGTATGTTAAAAGAAGGCCAGGAAAAGAAATACTCGTAGTTTTATTAACAGAGGTTTCTTGCATGAACTTCACCCTGGTTACTGTGAAAAATGCTAAAACAGCATGAGGTTCCCAGCCCTTAGAAGCTTATCTATAAAAAAAAACATTCTTTATGGCTTTAGTGAGCTAACTTACCTGTAATGAAGGATGTCCCATGTCTTGCAGGCAGCTGGATACCGGAGAAATCATCACATACAGGGATGCCCCGTTCTCTTTCTGGCTCTGATCTTCTAGAATCTAGAGCCGTGGGGGGTTCATAGTTTTGCATTTTCTGTGAAGCTGCTGTGAAAAAGTTTCCAATGAGGACCTGTCTCCTCCAATGAGAAAAGTTCTTTCACTGCCTGTGTGAACATTCAATCTGTGAATGGTGAAAAGAATCCTGTGACTCATCACACTCTCCTCTATTCACAGATTGTGTTACAGGCAGTGAAAGCAATGAAAAAATGTTTCTCAATGGACAGGGAGGGAGCAGGGGAAGGGTCCTCACCAGGAACTTTTCACAGCAGGTTCACAGAAAATCCAAACTATTAACCCCCTGCGCACTGGAAGTTCAGAAACAGAAAGAGGATGGGGACTCCAAGCACAGAGAAATATATACAGATCCAGATGCTTGCACAACATGAGACATCATACATTACGGGTAAGTTAGCTCACTAAACCTATAGGTCTCATGCACACTGAGCATTTTAAAAATGATGGTAACGTTAGCTGTATAACGTTTTTCTGTGTTTTTTTTTTTACATTAGCCTCTTTGTGCATGAACACATAGGATAAAATGCTGGGGAGTTTAATGGCTGTAGAAAAAAAGCCAGAAGCCAAAAACAACAGCTGTAAATATGCCCAGTGTGCATGAGGCCTTCGAGTCAGGACTATGTGTACAGAAGGTGGATACTGCCTGTACTAATCAGACATACTATAAACAGCAAATGTGTGAAAATGCAAGCAAGTTGCAATAGACAATAGCTCCTTTTATTTACAGTAACATAAACAATCATTTTTATAAATGTCTCTTCTGCTTTTACTCTTCTTAGGAGATACTCACTTTTTTTCTTGGGAGGAGAGTTGAGGACATGTAATGCATGGAAGCCAGTCTTCTTTAACTTGAAATTATCTATAGGTGTTGTCTTGGAAACATTCCATACCCGTAATACACCAACCTGGGAATCTAAACATACCATAAAAGTGTGAAACATATTACAGAATGACATGTATGTCAATAATTTTTACTAATAAGTTCTTCATTGACATTATTCATATTCACTGTCCCATTGTAGTCATTCTTAAAGTGTATGTTGGGGAAAAAAACAAAAACATATAAAGTACATCTGTGCAATACATGCACCTTTCCCCATGCTTTGTCTCTTTAAAAACACAAATAGTATAAAATTATCTGTATAAAGGATACATGAGCTTTTAGATTTCAGTGCCTCTGCTTAAATAAAAGTCCATGCAGTGTTGTCAACCCCACCCGAGTTGGACTACAGAATACCCGTCAATTCTATAACATAAGGTGATATTCTGTAGTTCAGCAGAGAACTCAGATATTGCTTTCAGCACTGCTTGTATTATTAGTGCAGTAAAGGTCCAAGAAGGCTGGGATTGGTAGACAGAGGCTGAAAACTATAGCAACGAATTTTTAGAAGTCAGCAGAGTACATAATATTAACAAATGTTTAATTTCTCAAACCACACATACACGCTCAAAAAAATTAAAGGAACACTTTTTAATCAGAGTATAGCATCAAGTCAATTAAACTCCTGGGATATTGATCTGGTCAGTTAAGTAGCAGACGGGGTTGTTAATCAGTTTCAGCTGCTTTGGTGTTAATGAAATTACACACTAGATGGACAACAATGAGATGACCCCCAAAGCAGGAATGGTTTTACAGGTGGAAACCACTGACATTTTTTCCCTACTCATCTCTTCTTACTGTTTTTCACTAGTTTTGCATTTGGCTAGCGTCATTGTCACTACTGGTAGCATGAGGCGATACCTGCACTCTACAGAGGTTGCACAGACAGTCCGACTCCTACAGGATGGCACATCAATACGTGCCATTTCCAGAAGGTTTGCTAGGTCTCCCAGCACAGTCTCAAGAGCATGCAGGAGATTCCAGGAGACAGGTAGTTACTCTAGGAGAGCTGGACAGGGCCTTAGAAGGTCCTTAACCCATTAGCAGACCGATATCTGCTCCTTTGTGCAAGGAGGAACAGGATGAGCATTGCTAGAGCCCTACAATATAACACTCCAGTGGGCCACTTGTGTGAATGTCTCTGACCAAACAATCAGAAATAGACTTCATGAGGGTGGCCTGATGTCCTCTAGTGGGCCCTATGCTCACTGCCCAGCACCATAGCGCTCGATTGGCATTTGCCATTGAACACCAGAATTGGCAGGTCCGCCACTGGTGACATGTGCTTTTCACAGATGAAAACAGGTTCACCCTGAGCACATGCGACAGATGTGAAAGGGTCTGAAGAAGCCGGGAAGAACGTTATGCTGCCCGTAACATTTTTCAGCGTGACCGTTTTTGTGGTGGGTCAATGATGGTCTGGGGAGGCATATCCATGGAGGAATGTACAGACCTCTGCAGGCTAGACAATGGCACCCTGATTGCCATTAGGTATAGGGATGAAATCCTTGGACCCATTGTCAGACCCTACGCTGGTGCAGTGGGTCCTGGGTTCCTCCTGGTGTACAACAATCCCCGGCCTCATGTGGCGAGAGTATGCAGGCAGTTCCTGGAGGATGAAGGAATTGATACCATTGAATGGCCCCCACACTCGCCTAACCTAACTCCAATAGAACACCTCTGGGATATCATGTTTACATCCAACTGACGCCACCAAGTTGCACCTCACACTGTCCAGGGGCTTAGTGATGTCCTGTTCCAGATCTGGGAGGAAATAACCCAGGACACCATCAGTCGTTTCATTAGGAGCATGCCCCGACATTGTCAGGTATGCCTACAAGCACATTGGGGGCCATGCAAACTACTGAGTACCATTTTGAGTTGTTGCAATGAAATTTCAGCAAAATGGACTAGCCCTCTGCATCATTTTTTCACTTTAATTTCGGGGTGTCTTTGAATTCAGTCCTCTGTAGGTTGATCATTTTCATTTCCATCAAACGATGGGGCATCCTTACGTTCCTAACACATTACCCAGTCCATATCAATATAGATATCCAGCATGATATTTTTCCCCATTAATACCTGATATGTTTTCAAAGTGTTCTTTGAATTTTTTAAGCAGTGTACAACAAAGGGCACATTCTTTTCAATGTTATCTCTTATGTAATGTATTGAAAATTCTGTAGGCACTAACATTTGTGAACATAAAAAAAAGGGAATAGCAACCTGTGGAATACAACTAGACTTAAAGTAGAATTCCAGGCTAACATTACCTATTCTTAAAAATGTTCCCTTTCCCTCCTGCTACCTATCCTGCCTAACCTGTGTAAAAAAGATCCATATACATACCTGTTTTTAGTCCGCTGCTCCTGTGTTGGTCACCCATAGCTAGGGTGTTGAAGCACCAAAAGAATAGCGATAACTATACTATGGGCGCTCAGTGAAATAGTAAATAGTAAAAATTACCCTGCAAAGGAAGTTGCTTATACTTACATATTCTAAGGGCACTCTGGTCTGGTCACATGATTGGCTCCCAGTGGCAGCATCAGGGGAGAAGAGGGACAGACAATGGATGCCCCATAGCAAGCCTATGGGTGTTGTCACCGCCGAGGCATTTCAGCCATTATTGGCAATCTCTCCTCTTCCATCAACCTGGCTGCTGGGGAGCTCACATGACCAGACGGTAGTGCCCTCAGAATAGGTAAGTATAAGCATCTTCCTTTTACATAGTAGTTAGAAAATAATTTAGAAGGGGGGTGGGTGCAGTTTTAGTCTTAGTTACATTGATCCTGGACTTCCACTTTATGAACACTAGCAGCATGTAACTGCATTAATATTGAACTGTGCGGTGTACAAAAATAGGTTAATGCTTAGTGAAACCGGTGACACTGTATTGTAATAACTTCTGACTTCTGTGTGCATAGTGTTTACCTGCATTGTGAAAGGAAACAGGTAAATGCATTTTGTACGTTTTTTTGTTGGAGACAAATCTTAACTGATGTAAATCGCCATGAGCTGAGGAAGTTAACTGATGTCAATGCATATTAAAGCACAAAGATTCATGAAGAAAAACTTAAAAAAATAGTAAAAAAATACTTTTTTGCTACGGTTTTCAACTTGCTTTATTGTGCCAAGGAGGACTACGCATGTAGGTATTAACTCTTAGTGGCTTCAAAATCATGATCTTCCAGGATCTCTCAAGTACAGCATTGAAAAATAGAGGAGCTCTTTGGCCTTTTATGTTTATTCTAAAGCAGGTAACATTTCCCATTTTGTCTTTCTCTCACTCTCTGTCAAAAATCAGCCAAACAGCAACCTTCAGACACTAAATCAAATTATTCTTCCGGAAATAGCAGATCTCATTAGTGGAGCTCCCAGAATGGTATAGGGAATTCCATCTCTCAGATGACTGGCCAGAGACAGCAGGTGGCAGACAGATTCACGTCTCTCAAACAGCAAGCAAGAACTAGATGGTAAGACAGAGACCGAACAAAATCTTTTGCCAACACACATACTCTCAAGCATTGCTTGCCAGAATGATGAAATACAACATTTTATAGAAATAATTTAAACAGGATGCAAAGGATCTATTTCTCTCATTCTGTACTGTGGTACTGTGTGTATTAAGCTAGTATGCCCTAGCATTGAAGTTTGGTCAATTTAGGGTTTTCGAAATAACTACAGCTTTTCCATCTTGGCAAGAATACAACACCTTCCCTACAAACAAGATTACAACCACTTAACCAAAGATGAAACCTGGGTAGTGTGCTAGCATTAACAGGCTTAAGCTGACCATAGATGAGTCCATATTTTTCATTCAATCAGTGAGTGGAATGAAAAAAAAATGAACCGATTCCACCATCCACACATTTACGCTATAGCCTGCACTACTGATTGATCAAACATTTTCCAACATGGTGGTTGAACAGAAGTAAACTGTTCAACCACAGTCGCCATACGGGGATCAAAATGTGGCTGGTGGCTGCTGAAAATGCCAATCCATGTATCGTCAGCTGCACTTCTAGAAAGTATAAAACCTTTGAGGCCATTCTAACTCTATGTTTTATTCCATACGGACATCTTTACCAAAATCTTAGCCACTAGACCTTTCCCAATTATCTCTTCAATCGCTGACTTTCACCAATAAGGTTTTGTATTTGGCAAAGGGGCCTGAACTAACACAATAAACAAATTCATCTTCATAAATAGGTAGCCAGTTTGGGTCTGAGGAATATTTCTGTCTATAAATAGATAAAAATAGCAAAAAAATTGAACAACTGTCCTAAAGTGAAGCTTTATTTGAAGAAAAATCCTAGTAAAAAAGCCATGAAGAGACAATGAAACAGACTTACTAAAGGATTTGAGAATGTTCACACACTAAAATGTGTGAATTCACTTCAATTATCCAATCATGTAAAAAGAAAACCCGTTTAGCTCTTTGATCTGCACATGATTGGATAACTGAAGTGAATAGTCACACAATTTATTGAGTAAACATTCTGAAATCCTTTAGTAAATTAACCTCATTATGTCTCTTCTGTAATAAATGCTTCTTGCCTGTCTACCAGCAAATGTCTGTAGGTGTTATGTGTAGCTCAGTACATTCACGGCATGCCTTCATGCCAGGATGAATTAAATCCTCTGTTCATGCGCAGGAGTTATGCCATCCTGGGACAGCCAATGAAGTTGGTTGAGACCCTGAAGCTGGAAGAAGATTGGACAAAGATGTTAGCAGAGGAGAAATGAGAATTAGAAATAGTATATTTTGTAATAAAAATGGATCTTACTCTTTTGAATAATTCACTGGCTACAGCTGGCTTCATAAAGAGTTCTTCTTTCTTGTTCTTTCTAAATGTCTTGTTTTAGTGCATTGACATGATTCCACTTTCTCCTTCCCACTAGAGTTTACCCACTCATGAGGTAAAGGAAATCTGGCATGCATCAATAAATACTTTCAAACAGCCATGATACAACTGGGAAATAGGAATCTGTCAAAATCCTAACAGTGAGATTTACTAAGAACAGGTAGACTT